GAGGACAAATGTCCTGACAGTTAGAAAAATTAATCAGTGGAACAGCTTGCCTCCAGAGCTTGTGAATGCCCCAACACTGGAAGTCTTTAAGAAGATGTTGGATAGCCATTTGTCTGAAATGGTATAGGGTTGGACTAGAAGACCTCCAAGGTCCCTTACAACTCTGCTATTGTATTGTATTGTAACATTTGATTAAGGATTTAGATTGCTTTAATGTTAATAATCAATTTTGTAAATATCCAGCCTTAATAATGTCAACAGAAATCAGTGAGGTATGTTTTAAGTAAATCTTACATTAAAATCTAACCCTTTGGTAGTTTGGAGAGAGCAATGATTTAGTTGTTTCATTAACAAGATTCATTTTAGAGATTATTTATTTCAGAGGAATGTTGAGGAACTACCAAGAAACAGAAAGAAAGGGTATTATAGCTGTTACATAAGTGTATTTCATAAAACAAATGGAACATTCAACCAGTCGTACTACTAACCTATGACCTGGTTCCTTAGAAACAAATTTACTACACATAATCAGACAGAGAGATTGCATTGTTGAAAGGCACAAACACTTTTTAAGAGCTTTATCACATACTAACAGCTATGAACTGTGTTAAGAAGGATGTCTATTGTCCTTTGATGGAGCAAATGATTAAACTCCTTTCTGCCTTAAGCTATGTAAGGAGAGCAAAATACAGGCCACCAGAAGTTCTTAAGTTACAAGTTCCAACATACTTCACTACTGGTGTCGTTGGCTAAAGCTAATCGGAAGTTACAGTTCAACAACATCCAGACTACACCTCACTTCTCTCCTCTCCCCTTTTACCAATTCTCAGAAATTGCCTGGACAAGTCTGCAGTTTTCTTGGCAAGGTTTTCAGAAGTAGTTTACTATTGCCTCTTTCCTAGGGCTGAGAGAAAATGATTGGTTCAAAGACACCCACTTGGCTTTGTGCCCAAGGCAGAACAGAACTCATGATTCCCCAGTTTTCTAGCCTGATGCTTTAACCACTACACTAAAATGACATCACCTACACATGCCCTAAACAGCTATAAACCCTATAAAATTGAAAAACGGAACAGATCCTTTTTGTTACTTGCATAATGTCTCGTTTTGTAAGTAAAAGACAACAATACAATGGCTGCCCATCAGTACTTCCTCTCCCCTTCCAATTTTCCTTACCCATGCTTTGCCTTTTTGATAACCAAGCCTGTTGAGAAATGCAAGGAGACAAACTTGAGCCAAGTGCACATACAATGTTTCCAATCCTAATTGTAAAAAGATGCCTGGCTCTTTAAAACTAAGAGAATAAAAGAGTTAGAAGGGATCTTGGAGGTCTTCTACTCCAACCTCCTGCTCAAACCAGGAAACTATATACCACTTTTATCTAGAACAGGGGTGTCAAACTCACGGCCCACAGGCTGGATGAGTCACATGCTGGACACACCCACCCCCGGCTTAGCAAAGGGGGGGAAAGTCCTGATACACTATGTGACACCACCAGGACGTGAGTTTGACATTCCTGATCTAAAAGATAGACATGGCTTTCTAACCTCTCCAAAGTTTGAAAAAATATCTAATTATATCTCTTGGTATTTGACATTCATGCTTGGTTAAAAAACTGGCAACATTTGTACTTATTTGTTTTTATGTAAACATTTAAAATGATTCTCTTTGGGATATTCAGCAGCCCAACAAATGATACTATACTCTAGAGCAGTGTTTTTCAACCACTGTGCCGCGGCACACTAGTGTGCCACGGCACAGTGTGAGGTGTGCCGTGGGAAAAACACTTGCCCCCCCTCCCCCAAAAAATCGTTTTTAAAATGCGCTTTCTGAACTCGGCCTCTGTTGTCTTGGGATCCTTCGGGGCGAATTCGCTTAATCTCCCGCCGCCGTCGTCCCTTTCACCCGAACCAGAGCTAGAGCAAGCCCCCTGCCTGAGAGCAGCTGCAGCTGCAAGCCAAGAGAAATTGAGAGAGAGAGGGAATGTGCACGTTGAGCTCTCCAGAAGGGCTAGGGACTGACAGCCGCGGCGAAAGCAGCCCCCGCCGGCCGGCCCTCGCTTTTGTCTGCTGGGTAGTGAAGGCGGCGGAGGAGGAGGAAGCAGCCCGGCGTCGCTGCTCGCCTTTCCCGCTCTGTGCGTGGGAGAATGTGTGTGTGTGTGTGTGAGAGAGAGAGAGAGAGAGAGAGAGGTAATTCATAAAATCCCTTCCCCCTCCAGCCATTCTTCCCCTTTCCTACAACTGACATTGGTTGTTTTTTTTAAAAAATTGTGGCGGAGGCTATTGCAAGTAGATTCGGTGTGTGTGTGTCAGGGTGGAAGGAAAATTGAAGTAAGATTATAAGCACAGTTGTACTTTTAGTAGTTTTATTTAGAGGCAATTTCACTTAATAACCAAGTTGCCAGTTCCAATTGTGGTTGCTAAATTTTTTTAACATTTTCTAATGGTGGTGTGCCTCGTGATTTTTTTCATGAAAAAAGTGTGCCTTTGCACAAAAAAGGTTGAAAAACACTGCTCTAGAGTGTGTCCATGTTTGTATCTAATATTGAAAAAAGCTCAAAGAGCAAAACTAAACTACAAGGAAAAAAACCCTGAATAATCTGCAGAAAGTTTGTAAGACAGACAACAAAAATAGCAACTGGTCTCAACATACGTGGCCATGTTAAAGTCACAGTTGCAAATCCACACAGGATAAAAAGTTAACAAAAAACTATTAGCAGACTTCACCATCTACATTAGCTCTAATAGATTTTACCAGTTTCAGTAATTTGATTGCAAAACTATTTTTCTTGTGGCTATTTTCACAAAAACTTGATTCTGCCTATTGATGTTTTTATTCTTTGTGTTACCATGGCTTCATCACAACAGTGTTGCAACAAGACTCTCAAAGGAATGTACAGAATACAGTACAGTCGTTTCTTTAGCAACTGGGGGTTTTATTCATACAAGATCAGATAGCTGTATAGCAAATTTATTTCTCAAAGGTACCTCTAAGTTACTCATATTACTCATACAGAATATTAAAGTTCAGTATTCTTAGAATGAGCAATGTACCTCTACCGGTGCTTAGGTAAGTGATTAAAAAATAAAAGTTAAAAGAAAGGATATTGATGTCTTCTGCCAAGTTGATTCTCAACATAAATTGCACAATTTAAAACAAAATATCTATTCACCTTTCCCCAATTAGATATTCATGTGTCACAGGAAGTGCTACTTTCGTACAACCTGTAT